GTCGTCGTCAGGGGCGGGGGTGCTGGGCTTACCTGTGACCAGTGGGGCGGCGGGGGCGGCCTCCACGTTCGATGGTGCGTACACAGGCTGGTCTCCTGAAAAGTGAATCACAGATGTTGTTGTTCGGGTCCTTACGCCTTCCGTCCGTTTCCCATGCGCATGCAAACACAACACAACACAAAATTTGAAAAATGAATTGTTTCATCACTGCACAGACTCACCTTGGATGTTGTTGCGCACGGCGCTAAGCAGGGGTGTCTTGGTGCCGCACTGCCCGTGGAAGTCGTCTAGATCAACGGCCCAGATCATGACACCGCCCAGGTTCTGCTTGCGGATGTACGCCATCTGAGGGGGAGGAGAAGGTTATGGTCAGCAATTCCGGTGGAGCTAGAACAAGCCATCGGAGCTGGGCAACCGGTGGGCACTCACCTTGTTAGTGACGCTGACGGCGTCCTCGTAGCCGACCCACTGGTCGCCCTTGACCATGAAGGGGCTGCCGGCGCGGTCGACCTGCAGCCTCCAGCCGCCCTCGGCCTGGAGCTCGCAGATCTCGAAGTAGGCGAGGAAGCCCTTCTCCTGCGTGTAGCGGCCCTCCTTGCCCAGGCCCTTGATGGCGGAGCCCGGCACGTAGCGCGCAGGGTCCTTCAGCGTGAACGAGCGGCCGTAGAAGGGCACGCCGAGGACGAGCTTCTCGGCGGGCGCGCCGCGCTTCATCCAGTACTTGACGGCGTAATCCTGCAAAAGGCGAGCATGGTGAAGGAGACCAGGACCCGGAACGATTACGGGCGTCCAGGTCGGCCGTACACGCGCAACTCACCACGTTGTAGAAGATGTCGATGCTGGCGTCGTGCGGGCGCTGGTGCAGCGGCGCGTGGTGGTCGGCCGCGCTGTCGCGCTCGGCGTGCAGGTCGAAGGCCATTAGGTTGATGAAGTCGAGGCTCTTGGCGATGCGCGCCACGTCGTACGCGTCCTCCATGCGGAAGCGCGACGGCGACACGGCGGCCGACAGCAGCCAGCCGCGCGGCCCGAACACCTCGGCCAGCTCGTCCACCAGCAGCGAGAAGTGGTCCTTGTCGGAGGACAGGCCGCCCAGGTCGAGCGCGCCCGGGTACTCCCAGTCCAGGTCCAGGCCGTCAAACTTGTGCGCGTCCAGGACGCGGACGACGGAGCGGATGAACTCGCGGCGCCGGTCCGCTCGGCTCGCCATCTGCGAGAACTTGGAGCTGCCCTCCATCCAGCCTCCGACGGACAGCATGACCTGTGGAGCAGGCGGGCAATGGTAGTGAGCAGCTCGAGGACGAGAGCCTGTGGCTGGACGGGAGCGCCGCTCACCTTCAGCTTGGGGTTCTTCCTCTTGACACCGACCGCGGCCCTGTAGCCGCCCTTGACCAAGTCGTACTCCTCATCCTGAGGGACGATGCGGAATGAGTGGGGGTCGATGGAGGCGAATGCGTACAGCAGATGGGTGCAGGCGAACGGGTCCACGTTGTCGGCGCTGTACGACACCACGTCCTTGCGGTACGCGGCCCAGGCCTCCAGGTAGCAGACCACCTTCTGCTCGGCTGTAAGCGCAAGCAAGGGTGAGAGGGGTTGGGACGCATTGGGGTTTACATTTGATGTACATTTCGAACATTTATTGCTGACAAAGCAAAAACAAAATCAGATGAACTGGGTCATCCCCTTACGTTCGGGGTTCTTGATCGCCTGGTACGTAAGGACTAGGGGCGGCTGCCTTTCCCCGAGGGTGCTGAACACATAGTTAGGGCTGCCGAGGAGGCCCCAGCGGCCTTGAGGCTGCAGCAGCGGCCCGGCGGGCGCATAGTTCGGGATCGTCTCTAGGTACGGCCAGATCTGCACAAGGACAGAATGATAGGGATCAGATGGGAGAATCCGAAGAATTAAAGAAGTTTAAAAGAACAATGGATTGACTGTTTATGAACTACTGAAAATATAAATAAATAGCGTGTTTAGCACAGAAGTCCGTTGCTGTATGACACGACCAAAGTGGTATTGAGCTTACCGGTGTCTGCGGAGTCCAGCGAGTAGCCACGGGGCTGGGGCTTGGATCGCTAAGGGGAATGACGTAGGACGGCGAAGGGAGCGCCGAGGCGCTCTGCTGCCACCAGTTGGCGCCGACCGCGCCCAGGAACGGGTGCGCCGAGTTGGCTGGCCAGGCCTGGCTGCTCGTCAGAGGCCTGACGCCCACCCGCGGGGACGTCCTGTGGACGACGGGGCGCGAGGCTCGGCGCGAAGGGGGCGGCGCCACGGCCGGGTCTGGGGCCGGGCGGCGCTCCACCGCAGAGCGCAGCGGGATGCTCTCGAGGGCCCTGCAAAAGCGTCCGCGAGCTGTTAGTAGGGCTATCCTGGTGGAGCCCCTAGCGAGTAGGCAGCCCCGCCACGCGCAGCTGCGTAACGGGATTGCCTACCGCCAGGGGCTCCGCGTCCCACGGTCTCCTCACGTGATGGCCTCTGGTGGAGCCCCTAGCGAGTAGGCACCCCCGCCACGCACCGCTGCGCAACAGGCCTGCCCACCCACCAGGCTCTCCACCCGACGAGGACGCGGCGCTTACCTGTCTCTGCTGGAGGGCCGGTGCTCGACGGCGGCTCGGATGGGCAGCGCCTGCGTGCCGAACGGCGCGATGGACGACTTGAGGGAGGCGCGGTGCGCGCCGCGCTCCCCGTCGCCGGGGACCACGTGCGCGGGCACGCTCTCCACCGAGTCGCGGAGGAAGCCGGCCGCGGTGAGGGCGGCGCGCTCTCGGGCCGACAGGCTGCGGCCGGCGCACGGGCCCAGCACGAGCACCAGCAGCGCCAGCGCCTGCAGCGCCTGCCTCGCCCACGCCATCCTGGGCCTCGTTATCCTGCTGGGCAAAAGGGCGTTCCTCAGGTCGACAGCCGTGTGTGAGGTGAGCAGCCTTTGCGGGTTGCGGGACCGCGCGCTCGCCGAGAGTTCGCGCCTCGGACTGGCCTCCGCTGCCCGGGGGGCGCCTCCGTGACCTAAGTGCAGCTCGGGGGGAACGTGGTGTCGTCACTGGGGCCTAAGCGGCATGGGCATTACCGAGTCCGATAGCGACGAGATGACACGCTAATCGTTGTCGTTGGGGGCGTGCGGGTTGGAGCACCGTACCGTGCTGGGGTACAGAGTGCAGGGGTGCGGCTGTGTCGTAACGCGCTCGCTCGGAGCATGTACCCCCGCGGCCGCGCTGCTCCCGTTGGCGGGGTGCGTTGGGTGGCGTACACTATCGCCCCCCCCCCCTCCTCTTTTTCCTGGACTAGCCGAGAGGGTCTGACAAACTCTGGGCCTTGAAGAGTGGCATGACCAGTGATGAAAAATGTCGACGCGGTACGGCAGTAAACTCGGAGCGCGGATCCGAGTGGCGGCTGGTTAGTTCCATGGAACGCGCGCGTCCCCCGGGCGATAGCCGGGCGGCGGACTTCTACTATAACGAGGTGCCGGGAAGGGTGATAGGATGCAAACAACTCCGGGGGCCGCGGGGCGGGGCGCGTTTCTTGGGAAGATGGTGACGCTCGCTCGCGCCAAATCGGGGATGATTCACCCGATGGGGTCCTGAGCCCCCCCCCCCCCCACACACACACCACGGGAGGGGGGTGGTGGTATAGGGACGGCGGGCCGATAAACATTGTGATTCCGTCCATGTCCGCGCGCGCTAGTCTGCATGTGAGCGTGAGTGCTGCCGTCTCGCCCGGGGCGCCACGCCATCCTCTTTTCATAATTTTCATAACTATAATGGGCGAGATGAGCTCAGCACCTTGCCCCCGCCCCCTCCCCCCTTCTCCAGCTGCAGTCAAGTGGGCAAAACAAACATCACCCCAGGTCCCAGGTTTCCACCCCATCCGGTCAGTAATCGTGCGCGTACATTTGGCGTCCCCCTGCCTTCCTCCTATCTGGCCAGTGGCCAAAAGACTGTCGCGCCAAAATTTGAATACGTGGGTTATTGGTTTTACGGCCGGCGGGTCCATCTCCGCTGCGGTGGGCTGCCGGACGGGAGGCTGCGCAGGTCCAGGTCCAGGCGCGACCGGACGCGGGCCCGGGCCCGCTCGGGGTCTCTGGCCTCTCCTTACGCCCCCGGCCTGTCCCGACCGGTCCCGGCCGGCCGGGCCGTGTGGTGTGCCCCGCGAGTCGCCCAGCCCCGCCCAGCTCCGCCCAGCCCCACCCAACCTCGCCCAGCCCCGCCAAGCCCCCCGTTCAGCTCCAGACTCGTACACAACAAGATACCCGCATAATCACAAAATAAC